GATTCTCCATGACCCATCTTAGCGGAAATCATGTTGGTGAAGATCTCGTAACGCTCTTGTCTCGCGTTTTGGTGGTACCTCTCCAACAAGTCTTGATGCATCTCGTATGGATACATGTCCTCGTAGGACTTTTGGAATTCGGAGTTCATGGTGGCGATCATGATGCAATGTACTTTCGTCGCATCTCGCTCATGGGTTTCAAAGGCGGTGATTTCAGCGGGAGTAGCAATTTCGGGGTTGATTTTCTCGAGCTTCTCGTCGAGGACATACTCTTTATCCTCATAGCGAGCAATGGTGCGAATGTATCTTATCCATTCGCCAAAGTTCGTTCCATCGAAGGTGACCTTTTGGCAAAGGCTCATCAACGTGAAAGAACTAGCAGCAGCGTTGTTTGCGTTTGACATCTATAGAAAGGACAAAGATAGATTAGAACAAGAATCCCTAATTATCACCCAATAAGAAAAATTAGGGCTAGGATCCAACAATAACATTTACATACTAGAAAAGGGATGCCGTAATCCAACATGCAAATAAATTGAAGGTAAGTGAATGACGATTCACTAATTCTCCATCACAAAACTTAAACTTTTAGTCCTAAGTGTTTTTGAGAATTCCTAGGTTCGGATGAGATTCATTGAACTATTCAATGGCATGTTTAAATCTCGATATGCCCCTCTTGTTTGTGACTGGGATGCCGAGGATCACAAAGCGGGTGTGAATTACCATGCAAATTTACATGGTGCCTTCATTGTTACGATCACCTATTCGATGTGCCGGTAAACCACACACGCTCCATCGAACTATGATAAACAATGAATCACCCTTCGCCACCTTCGCTTAGAACCAATTAGTGTGCCGGTAAACCACACACGCTCCACTAACATCTTAGCAAGGTGCAAAGTGTAATTTCATGGATTGCATCAATTCACTTTTCCTAAAGTAACTAAGATTGGGAAATTTAAAAAAATTTAGTTACTTCGTATTTCTTATTATACTTTTAATGAGAGGATGAGGTTGCCCTATCCTACCCGTTCGGCTAACGACCCTCCACCAATCAAGCAAGCGGTGGGTGTGAGTGTACACCCATTAAGCGCCATTTTATAGGCCGCAACCTTATACCCACCTTATAGATCGGCTTCGTGAATGAGGCCTACTAGCGGTAAGACTAGCATTTAGTTATACATATATATATTATTCTAATAATCATATAAGTATAGGGTTGTATTTTAAACTTTTCAAAATCTAGGGTTTGAAATTTAAGTTGTCTAAATTAAAGCTTTTAATCACAAATTTAAATTTCAAAACTATAGGGTAGGTTTTAAACATTTAAAAACATGGAGGATCAAATAACAAATAATTTCAATTAACAATTAATATCTTAATTATCTTTATTTGATTTATCTTTGATTTCTTTGAGGATAATTACCAAAAATAATTAAAACAATTAATTAATTATCATATAAAGAAACTAAATATTTAATTAGTTGATAATTACCTTTAACTAGATCAAGATAACACTTATATTTATCAAAAAAACGGATTCATATTGATCTAATTAGTTTATGGTAAGTTTGGATAAGATAAACACAAAGAAATCCCGAATCTGGCCCTTCCTGACGCTTGGACTCGCCGAGTGCACAAGGGGACTCGCCGAGTCAGGCCTACTCGCCGAGTCCACCATGGAACTCGACGAGTCAGTGACTCAAAACCCAAAAAATCGAATTTTGCAGGTTTGTTTCAGTTATTCAAGCAACAATTTGTAGAAAACCAATCTAGGCTCTGATACCACTGTTGGGTTTTAGCCATAAGAACTTTCCTATGTGCGCATGCAAAACCCTATTGCTTGGATCTAGGCTTTCTATCAAACATGCTTTTGAATCCAAGACTTCTAATGGCTAATTAGGTTAAACAACAACATTAATACAGATCTAGAATCATACCTTTGAGTTCCTTGTTGATCTTCTTGTCTTGGAGCTTCTAGAGTCACAATTGTCACTCCTCTAATGGCTTACAAACACCAATAGCAAGCAAGATGATTTAGGAGAGAGGAGAGGGGATGGAATTCGGCCAGAGGTTCCTTGCTTTAGGTTCTGAAAGATTGTACACGAATTCCACACCCCAAGGGCCTATTTATACCTTTAGACTCCTTAAGGGTTTCACCCTAAACCCTAATTGGATAATCTTCACTTAAGGCTATCCAAATCCATTCATAGATATCCTTATGGACTATTTTGAGCTATCCTAAAGCTCTTAGAAACCGTCCAAAGTCCATCCTAATGGATTTATAGTCTAAAGTCTAACTATCAAACAATTGACAGTTTATACCCTTTTATTTAATTAATCTCTTTAAGTCACCAAATTAATACCAATTAATTTATGACTTATATTAATCAAATAGCTAAATATTATTCCTTATAATATTTACTCTCTCTTAACAAATCATCCTTCAAGTTGCTATGGTGAAGGCAACCCAAAAGGACCATGCACCACCGAATATAGTTATAGCCTTAGACACTATTCCAACAGTCTTCATTATTGCAGGATGAAAATTGGTTTCTTTTTCATGACAAATTTTGTTATAAAAGATTGAACTTATATTTTTAAAATTTTTAATTTTTTATTGAGAATGAAAAGGACATATGAATCAAAGTTAGTGCCTATTGCTTCTAATTTCACTTATTTATCTTTATTCTAAACAATCGGATGAAAGAAAAATGTTCAAAATGATAACTGTTGATGGTTCCATGTTCATTTGAGTTATACGTTATTTTTGCCTTTATACAGTTTTAGCAATTTACTTTATTATTTTTGTTGTACGTCAACGAATTATTGAAATTGAAGGTATCATAGGTATGGGATGACATCACTATCGACTTCATCGTCTACCATAGGAAGACAACCATATGGGTCATTGTAGATCATCTAACTAAATCTAGTCACTTCACCTGACAACCCGATTACATGGCATCGATGCTTGTTCAGATGTTCCTCTCCAAAATCTATCAACTTTATGGGTTGCATTGTTCAATTATTTCGGATCTAGACTCATTTCTAGAACCTCATAACGACGCTCTTCTAATCTGGTGCGAACGTATCACCAACGTGCTTCAACTATTTTGTCAAGTCTTATCTTCATTGATTCATAAATGATGAACCAAAGCGTTACTCACACCTTGCTAAGTTTTGGTGCATTTCTTCATATCACACAACTACTCGAATGACACCATTTCATGCCTTTTACGCCCGCCCTTCGTTGAGTCTACCTGCCTACACACTCAGGTTATAACCGGCTGCATCTATCGATGACCCCTTACGCACCTATTCCTAAATCCTTGTAACTTTGAAGAAGAATAGTCTGAACACGACAACAAATGTCATCTCAAGCAGACTAACATTGTAGGAGAAGGTTTTTTAGATAAAAATTTGTCAAACAGAACAATTTAAAGAAGACTAAGATACTTCTTCATATTTGTAACGGGTTCAAACTACAAAATTTACAAAAGAACCAGTAGTTGTTAAGCAAAAATTTAAAACTAAGATATTGGGCAGGGGCTGCGCGAACGCAAGCCCCCACTGGCACAAATTATGATGTAGGCTCGACCACTTGGGCCGACCTTAGGCTAGCACCCCTCCTCAGTGCAATGGAGGTCACTAACCTAGGCCATGGTCCATCTTGACCAACCATTGACCCCATCCAGGTAAGTATCTAATCCAATGACCTCGTTTCGTTTTTATAATACTTCCCCTACCTTTCTATTTCTTCTTTCTTGCGATGTGGGATCACATTAGACTTGCATGTTTGATATTTCCACAGAAACTCTTTTGCTTCAACACCTTTTGCAGAAACTCTTTGCTTTTTAAGATGAAAGCATCAATCGAAATGCATTGACAAATTTTTTAAAGATTTCACATATTGGTTCCTTTAAAAAAAATTATTCATCTCTAATAAACAGGAAAAATCTTCTTTAATGATTATTGTTATAAGCCAGAGAACACAACAAATAAAACTCGAAACGAAATAATATTTTTACCTGTCAACTATTTGACTGTAATGTCATTTTGAACTTCTTATTTTTAGATATATTTTATTTTATTTTTTTCGTTTGACAAAGAGCAGTAATCATCTGGTGATAAGCTAAGCATTAGCTCATTGTGATCTAAGGAGTTCTTCAGCTCCATCATGATTGATGAGCTTTCATAAGAGTTTGATACAACATGTCAATGAATTGATTATCCTTGGAGTAAAACTTTTAGATGACCTGTCGTTTTGGAAAAAAAAAGTTTATTATCTTATAAGTTATAAACAACACCATGTTTTTATGAAGATTGATATATAAAATATAACATACATATGCCAAAAGTCAAACTCAAAGCGAAGTAAATTTATATGTCCATTTACTGATTGTAATATCTTTTAAATTTTTATTACTTAATAAATTTTTTTTTTTGTTTGACAAAAATCATTAATCATGTAGAGATAAACATAAAAACACTTTGATTATTCACTTTTAACTTTCGATTGAATTATATCCATTTGCTTATAGTCAAGAAAATCAATACAAATCCATAACATGTTGGTACCTAATTAGAGACACTTGTGTGAATAATAAAGATTAAAGAGTTATTCTCAGACAAGCATTTGTCATCATGAATTTGTTATTACAACTAAAAAGTATATATATGAGATCCGGCATAAAGATCCACATTCCACACTCTAATCATTTGAGGGTGCTAAAAACCCAACAATTTAACTATTTTCGAATAGGACAAATGAAATGTAAGAGTTTAAAATTATTTTTGTTAAAAGTTCAATAAAAAACCAATGTATTCTAGTTATAAATTCATAATTATACATCAGAATTCTAATCAAATTAGTTAACATATATTAACTTGAATCAAGAGAACAAATAATGCAAGCCTTTATAATTGTTATTGATGATTTATGCTATAGATAATTTGATAACATGTAATCGATAAAAATATATAAAATTTTGGCTCCATTATGGATGCAATTTCCAGCCACGTTCAGCAAGTGCTTTTATCACATGCTCAGCTGCTTCTGATGTGTCTCTTAATGGAGGATAGATCCATGTTTCAGTTATCTGTAAATAGTAACACCATGAAAATAAAATACAATTGATCGAGGGTATTGATGTCTTTTGCCCATTTGCTATTTAAGTGATCATATTGTGTTTCAACTTACGTTCTCTTTACCAGTGAATGGTCTCAGCATCCCTCTTTCTTGCAGACATTTATGAAAATATGCAAACTTTCATGTACACCTCTCCGCTCCAATTACATAAACAGGCTTCCTGGAATGTAAAAGAAGAAAAATGAGTAAATGACCGTTTTACGCTTCTATCTCTACAAGTGATATTGCTTAGGAGTGTAATTGTATTACTGGTTTTCCCTTATGTCTACAAGCGTTGCTGGATTAAAAAAAAACATGACATTTTTGGACTGAATGAGAGTAAATGACCATTTTACCCTTCTGTCTACAAGTGATATTGCTTAGGAGGTAATTGTATTACCAGTTACCCTTATGTCTACAAGTGATGCTGGATTTGAAAATTTTTAAAAAAAAATCATTTTTGGACTGAATGAGGGTAAATGACCATTTTACCCTTCTATCTACAAGTGATATTGGATAACAAAAATTACATTTTTGTACTGAATAAGAGTAAATGACCATTGTACCCTTCTTCCCACAAGTGATGCTGCATGAGAGTAAATTACCATTTTACCCTTATGTCTACAAGTGATGTTGCATGAGTAAATGACCATTTTACCCTTATGTCAACAAGTGATTGCTTAAAAGTGTATAACCGGTTTTCCCATCTGTCTACAATTGATGCTGGATAAAAAAAAAATTACATTTTTGTACTTGATGAGTAAACGACCATTTTACCCTTCTGTCTACAAGTGATGTTGCATGAGATTAATTACCATTTTACCCTTCTGTCTACAAGTGATATTGTTTAGGAGTGTGTTACCAGTTTTCCATACTGTCTACAAGTGAATGACATTTTTGGACTGAATGAGAGTAAATGACCATTTTACCCTTTGACCTTAATTAAGAGATTTACCGACAGTGCAGGCCTCACTTATCATGCTGACTGAATCAACAGTGATGAGAAAAGCATCAGCCATTGCTAAATGTCCCATGTGTGGATTTGGATCTACACAAACACAAACAATGTATGAAAAGGATATTTACGTCTTTTTCACAAAACAAACATCAAGATTCAAGAGTCATTGTCCCACTCCCACCTTTTTGTGTGGGACTGGATCAAAAGTTACTATTTTTATCCTACTGATATCAATCACATTTCCCGTCTCAGTATATCAAACACAAAATAAGTAAAACATGTTATGTTATGTCATGTTTAACCAGTGGGGCCTACAGATAGATAGTGGAGTGGAGTGGAGTGGAGTGGGGTACCTTTTACATCCCAGATATAAACCTTAGGACGTTTACGGAATTCCTTTACCAACATCTCAGACACCTGTAATTTTGTCAAATATTATTTATATTAAAAAAATAGAATATTATGATTAAAAGAATATATAAAAATATACCTGGTGTGGGGTTCTTCCAGAAAATGAAATTCTAACACTCCCACAACTTGGAGGAACGTTCATTAATGATGTTGTTGACTCCCTAGCAAGCTCGCCACCATATCTGCAGTTACCTATAATAAAACAATTAATTAATCATTTTATTTTTTTTACAAAAAATAAAAAGATTAAAAATGAAATTTGAAAAATAAACTCAGGAATAGGTCCTCCAACGTTGACCACAATCAAGGGTCTGGACAATAAAGCCATGTCATCATGCCAGAGTTGGGGCTGCATGTTGTAATGCAGATGAATCAACTTGATGAAGGAACGGCTCCAAGTGTTAGATTCTGGGATTGTGTATTAAAAAATATTTTGAATTAAAATTTAAGTTATTATTTATTATGAGCGAGAATAAGGATTTCAAGAAAAAATGTTACTGACCACATTTTTTCGCAGGAGGTTGATTGGGAGAAATTAATCCATAAAGAAACCATGGAATAATATGTCTCTTTCCTTCAGGAGTGAGTAGATAATAATCATGATGAGGTGAAACCACCAAATCGTCTAGCATGAATCCAATATCACATATCATAACACATCTTCATAAATATCATCTAGCATGCATGACAACCTAAAGCTCATATCACAGCAAGATAACGTATTTCTAGCACATAAACACTAGCATAACGATTCACTAACATAAAAGACTAATTCGAATCATTCGATTTGTTGTAAAAAGTTGTAGTTCTCGACAATGTACCAAAGTTGGAAAAAGGATTTACCCACCTGTGATCTAAGTGAAATAGGCAATGATCAAAGGAAAATAAACACCCCGTCAACTAAATCAAGCACCTTAAACCAGAACAAAACATCTCGATAAGAAAAACGACACAAAATAAAAAAATGAAACAAAATTGTTGATTAGGCGCGACACACATATAATGGGACACGCTACCCTAGGGATGAGCATTTGGAACTCCGGAGAAGACCGGACCTGGACCGGCCTCAACAAGTATGGTCCAAGGTCCACTAATTTCTGCAAAGTCTGTTCTGTCCGGTCCGGTTCAAAATACTCAACCCTATGTCGTAATAGGTAAACTAACTTTTGGTAGGATTCAACTAGTTGTATCATGTGCACCTAAAATTGTATTGATCCAACGAGTACAAGAACCGGAAAACCCAGACCTGGACAACTGGCCTCAACCGGTCGTAATAGGTAAACTAATACTCAACCCTATGTCGTAATAGGTAAACTAACTTTTGGTAGGGATTCAACTAGTTGTATCATGTGCACCTAAAATTGTATCGATCCAACGAGTACAAGAACCGGAAAACCCATACCTGGACAAACTGGCCTCAACCGATCCGGTCCAAGGTCCACCAATTTCTGCCAAAAACCCATAGTCAACGGTCTCGTTTATGGTAAACGTCAAAAACCCATCGACGTGTCGCACATATAGAGATAAGAGATGGGCATTGCAATTTAGTGATAGTTAAAAAACATCAGGATTTTTCGACTTCCATTAATCCATACCAGTTCTACTCCCACCTTGGGGAGATTTCAACTACTGAAACTACCTTAACATGTTGGACCGATTAAGAACATGGGGATTACTCTATAACTCCAAAAACGCAACCGAACATCTTAACATGTGCATTGACCGACATCACACACATGATACCAACTACTATGACATCAAAACAAAATACGAGGTTAGAGATTTGGGATACTAAGGGTGCGTTTGGTTGTGAAAAACTGTTTTCATTTTCTAAGAAAATGTTTTCAGAAAATAAAGTTGAGTTTTCAATTTCAGTTTTTAATAAAAAAATTAGAAAAAATGTTTGGTTGGAACCAGTAGAGTTTTCATTTTCCATTTTAGAAATTGTAAAATTTTGGAAAACCTATAAAATAACTTTTCTAATTTACATTCAATTTCAACTGGAAATTTTTATTTTCTTAGAAAACTTTGAAAAACTTAACGAAACAAACGTGTTTTCAAAATTTCCGTTTTTCTTGAAAAAATTTCCACAACCAAATGCAGCCTAATCTTCTTGGAAAGACGTGAACACCCAAAGACAAAACGAAAGGAATCGGAGACAATCCCACCAAGTATGGCTTCGGAACGCGTCACCGAAACCCTTAGTCGACTCCATTACCACTATATGACCATTACTTATACCACTTTCTCATGGTTAGATAACATTCATTCTTATTATTCCACAAAAGGAGTTGACTGGGGCATAGCGACATGGTTTACTACCAAAATCACCTTGTTTCTCCGCCCCTCAACGACTTACGCCATCGCATCGTCATTAAGCATCATACTACCCCAACTGAGGGCCATTCGAGAGTCAATGCTACTATGTAACTCTTAGGGGATGTTTGGCTTAGCTTTTTAGAAGCCAAAAGTCATTTTCCAAAAAGTTACAAAAAATCAGGTTTTCCTGACTTCTTCAAAAAGTTGATTTTTCTTCTATTCAAAATCCAAAAGTTGGTTTTAAAAGTCTTTTGCCAAACATCTTTTGGGTTTGATCTTTTACTAAAAGTTCTTTTGGCATATGAAAAGCTAAGCCAAACACCCCCTTACCCTTAGTTGCATCATTTTACCGGTGAGCATGCGGTCTAATGTTGCAGATTTCATTCAAGCATTTACCACGTGTCAACAAGTCAAATATTCATCCAAGAAAACCTATGACCTTCTAGAACCTCTTCCCATCCTCGATCAAATGTCGGTCATTGTTGATCATCTAACTAAATTAATTTAGTGACTTCATCGATCTCAAAACCCAATTACATGGCATCGATGCTTGTTCACATGTTCCTCTCTAACATCTATCAACTTTATGGGTTGCATTGTTCATTTATTTCGGATCTAGACTCGATTCTAGAACGAGTTTATTAATTAAAAAAAAAAAAAAAAAAAACCTCGACACGACGCTCTTCTAATCTGGTGAGTACGTAGCACCAACAACCTGATGTTCTAACTGAGGTGCTTCAACTGTTCGGTCAAGTTTTGTCTTCATTGATTCATAAATGATGAACTAAAGACTTGGAGTCGTTATTCACACCTTGCTAAGTTTTGGTGCAATTCTGCATATCACACAACTACTCAAATGACACCATTTCATGCCCTTTACTCCTGCCCTTCGCTGAGTCTACCTGCCTACACGCTCGGGTCATCACCGGTTGCATCTATCGACGACACCTTGCACACCCATTCCTAAATCCTTGTAACTTTGAAGGAGAATTTAGTCTGAACACGACAACAAGTGTCATCTCAAGCGGACCAACATCGTAGGAGAAGGTTTTTTAGATCGACAATTAGGTGGGGATCTATGTCTGCCTTAAGGTATATCATCAACAATCTCTCCAACAAAACAACTCAAAAGAGAATGAAGAATCATTACATTCTTCATATTTGTACCAGGTTCGAACTACTAAACGAACAAATTACAATTCAGTTCATTACATTATTTCTTTTTCATGTAATCTATATTTTATCTATAAGACACTTAAAAGTACATTTTAGGCCACAACCCTCCTATCTAATAAAAAAAAATTATGTTGATGGGTTATATAGAACATTTTTGCTACATCAGTCCAAACTTGTCCACTTAAATCACAAATAGTCATACTGATTAAGAAAGTAATAGCAGTATTTTACACTAAGCATAGACAGATAAAAAGAGTCGTGCTGAAAGATTTTTTGCAATGTACGCATATTCAAGTTACTATCAACTTGAATTAGAACAACAGGGAAAGTATAATAAGCTGTTGGATTAAGTAAGCAATTACAGAATAACAAAAGAAGCAAAAATCAAACGTAAAAACCAGTAGCTGTTAAGCTAATTTTTGAACTAAGATATTGGGGAGGGCTGCGCGAACGCAAGCCCCCTCTGTCACAAATTATGATGTAGGTTCGACCACTTGGGCCGACCTTAAAGCAGCACCCTTTCAAAGTGCAATGAAAGTCACTACTCTAGGCCATGATCCATCTTGACCAACCATTGACCCCATCCAGGTAAGTATCTATTCCAAGAGCCTCATTCTCTTTTTATACAGCTAACTCGCTCTTTCTATTTCTTCTTTCTGGCGATGTGGGATCACACCAAAGTGAGCCTCTCTGCCTTCATACACCTTTATTTACAATTAGTTTGCCAAAATGCATTAATACTTTATATTTTTTTTCATTCAATAAGAAGTTTATTATCTTTGATTAGCGTGACAATGGTTTCTTTTATAAAATGTGATATAAGCCAAAATAAAGATAGATTGTGTGTATCTTAGTTAGGGACTATAATTTTAAGTTTTTTCTTGAAACGATAAGCTTTTTTCTATTTTTTTTTTCATTTGGAGAGGTCACTAATTGTCTTGTGATAAGCATGAACATAGTCTAATTTCAACACATCATTGGAACCATACAAAAGAAAACAATGAACTACTATGAGATGAGTATGGATCGAGACATTGAAGTACTATGAGATGAGTATGGAACGAGACATGAACTTGTAGCATAGACTCTTTGATCTTTGATTAGTGTATATTTAGTTAACACAATATGAAAATTAAGACTTTAGCCTAGTTTTCAAAAATTGTGTGAATAAGTAGTTTTTTTACAACAAATTTTCATCACAAAAATTATAAAGGCTCACATACACATTGTAATACACTTACCATTTGAGTTTTATAAAAAAGCACAAGTAATTCAACAAATTTAAATAAGACAAATAAAGTGCAAGGGTAAGGTGGTGTTTGAGATTGCTTATTTAACTTAATACACACTTTTTGATAAAAGTGATTATTTGTTTTTATAGTTACAAAATACTATAAGTTAAAAAGTGTTTGGATTGCCTCATTCGGATTAAAAAAAATTCGGTTAATAAATCATAAACTAAAAAAATGTTTGGATTAACTTAGTAGGTTTAGTACGGGTATAAATGGTTTTTCTTGTGTGTGAGCCTTTATAATTTTTAATTTCCATAAAACTATGTCCCGTAACAGAGGACACATCCATGTTTCACTTAGATGTAAACATTAACGCTATCAAACATAATTCGAAAATTATATACAGTTTATGGAGGATACTTATGTCTTTTGAGTTTGCTATTGAAGTGATATGTTTGTCTTAAGTTACCATATTGTGTTTCTTTATGCATAAATAGTTGCAAACTTACATTCTCTTTGCGAGAGAATGATCACACCATCCCTCTTTCTTAAATACATCTATATAAGTATGTCGACTTCCGTGTAGACCTCTATGCTCCAATGGCATAAATTAGCTTCCAAGAAGACAAAAGAGTAAAAAAAAAATAATAATAAAAGTAAATGACAATTTCACATTTATGTATATTGTGTACAATAGAGTAAATTACCATTTTACCATTCTATTTACAAGTGATGTTGAATAAAAATATTGAGTTTCTTTTTGGACCAAAATGAGAATAACAATTTGTTTCTTTTTTTTTTTAATTATTGAACTTAATGGGTTAATACAAAACAATTATATATGGTTGTTTATTTTTACTTAATATGGATATAATGACTTAATGGGTTAAGCAAAAAAAATATGC